GGCAGGAGAGGAAGCTGAACACCTTCCATATGCGTTGTCTCTGACACATTTTTGGTATCACCTGGCAGGACAGAGTTCCAAACAGAGCAGTCCTAGAACGAGCTGGAATTTTTAGCATGTATACATTACTGAAACAGCGCCGTCTACGTTGGCTTTGGCATGTCATGAGAATGGCTGATGGTTGGATTCCAAAAGAAAGCCGCCCAGAGTGGTCGACCAGACCAGATGGGCGGGATACAAATCAAATAAATAAATAAATAAATAAAATAAAAGATTTCCTGTATGGAAAGTTAGTGCAGGGAAACCGCCCCAGAGGGAGACCACAGCTGCGATACAAGGACATCTGCAAGTGGGATCTGAAGGCCTTAGGAATGGACCTCAACAGATGGGAAACCTTGACGTCTGAGCATTCAGCCTGGAGGCAGGCAGTGCATCATGGCCTCTCCCAATTTGAAGAGACACTTATACAGCAGGCCAAGGCAAAGAGACAGTCCCGAAACAAGAGATTGTCACTCTCAAATCGGCTCCTCAGCCACACTAGATGCTGTTCCAAGACCTCCATACAGAGCACGCTACCATAGTCTCTCGAGACTGAAGGATGCCTACTGACTAAAAAATGCCACACCCCTAGTCGAGTTCACACTTCCTGTGCTACTTTACGAACTTCACTACATTCTCATTACTAAACCCTTAGCCTTGACAAGTGACTGCATTACTTGTAACTCATTACTTCCAAGCTTGGAAGAGAACATGATCTTGATAACTGCAAGCGGCAGGCAAACATAAGGTGAAGGCATGTTAAACTTCAGATCTGGTGGCATCCATAGGGATCAAAAACCCATGGAGCCAAATGAACCCTCTTGCCTTAGCAGTCATGTACACAACTGGAAATGCAAACAGGGTCCTGAGGGGAAAAAAAGAGGGGGCAGAGGGCATTTTATCTAGGACACCAAGACAATAACAGCAGGAAGTCCAACAGGTTTCACACTTGCCCATGTATCCCGTCATCACCAGAATAATTCTCTACACCTATCCCAAACTAGTGCAATTACCTTTTGAAGCCCAAGGGTGGGA